GGCTGTATGCTTTGCTAAAGAAAAAAAAATAACCCTTGGCATGCTGATCTCAGCATGAATGTTAAGTATTAGGCAGGGCTGGGGAATGTATTCAGTGATAACTAGATTGGTATAGGTGAGATAATAATAATACAAAGCTCCAGAGTAAATTAGATGGGCTTGTCAAAGCCAAACCAGATAAAATGTTGCCATGGTTATTGGCAAATAAATTACCCAAATAAAGAGAATTCTGTTCACTATACTGTACAAAGCCTGGGAATAGACTTTGCGATCCCTTATAAGTGCTTTGGGTAGATACAAGTGTTCAGATTTGCAGCCTGGAAACTGTATCATGGGGGAATGCAAGTTAAAGAATTAAAAGGCCGATGAAGGGGTGGCAAAATGCTGTTGGAGCCACTGTTGGGGAAGATTCCTAAAGGGATCTTATGAGAATGTAGATTGATTGATTTATTGCTGTCTTTTCTGCATAATGGGTAGTCTGACTGATTGCATTGATCCTCAGTTATGTTCAATATTGTATGCTTCATTAGTTCAGATAACTGATATACTTAGTCACATGCACATTAATGAGATTTGAAGGCCAAGCCAGATATATATGTATACATGTGTGTATATGTGTGTGTGTGTGCGTGCACATGTGTATATAATACAGATAGGTAGACACACACAAGCTGTAAGTTTTTAACACTACATACAGTCAAATCCATATTCTTTTGTGTATTTGAGGCAAGGTACCATTGTGGATTAATGCACAGTATATACTTGCAGAGAGATGCAGCTTGGTATGCATTTACTATTTATTGAAACAAATCAGATGTTCTTTTCCCCTTTATTGGTGCCACAGGAATAAGCATCAAACATACTGTGTATCAATAAGATGATTTGCTATTATTGTTTCTCAAAGGCCTAGAATTCCTGGTTTGAAAGAAACTAATTAGTTTTTGTAATAGGAAATATAATAATAATAAAACCTTTAAAAAAAAAGTGATGACCTCTCAAGAATCAGCCTGTTGGGAGAATATAATTAGTGCCTATGAAGATGGAGACCCAGCCTGAAGGATTTAGAGGCAAGGGCAGCAAGGGTAAAGAAAGTCACATTAAAAAGAGATGCAGTCTCTGGTGGGTCATTTGAATTTCATCTGCAGGGTAATTTCCACGCCATTTAGCCGTATCCACAGCAGGAATAAAGAGGACTAAACACGTTATTAAAATGACAAAGTCATACACAGGGGGATTTGGGCATGTGGGCAGTGCGTTTGATAAAATTCAATGATACGGTAGGATGAGTTAGTGACAAATCAGGGATTTCAAGTATTTACAGAGAGACACGGTATGCCAGGGGAGAAAGGGGCAGAAGCGTACTCATTCAGGGTTCATGGTGTGTTGAGGATTAGTCTCATAAGCAGAAGAAAGGATTACCAAAAAAAAAAATCTATTAGCAAGGTTTGCAATTGTTCCCCAGGGTGGTAGGGAACAATTGGGCAAATAGTTCAAAGAACGGTAGGGTATTTTTGTGACAATATATGTATTGGGAGACCCATTATTAAATAATTAGTAGATTTAGTGCTACAGGAAATAAGTTTCTATTGAAGGTGTTTATTTTCTCTTTGAATTTCTGAACTTTAAATACAGACTTTTCAAAACAAAGCATAGGCCTCATTTTTGCAACCCAATCACTGACGTGAGGAAAGAAATGACAAGGAGCTTTCTTTCAGATCATGGGATTCGTAAGAAAAATAAAATTCTGTGGGTCAACCTGGACCAAGGTAGGTTTGATACATTTCCTTGTTCTGCATAGGCTTGCCATTCCTCAGCAGGGATTAATTCAATCTTAGAGCAGATGGTGATATCAATCCCTTCAGGTTTCCATCAGTTGAGAGCAGGCTTAATATTCAGCAGATACTCTACAGGATTCCCCTCTAGCAAATACTGCTATGGGATGTGCTGAGTCAGCTCATCCCAGCGCCACCTCAGCCAGGTTTATGCATAGTTCAGTTTATGATTTTGTTTTCCACATAGTGCAGCTTTAACTTTCTAAGGGACAGGTTTGTATGCAAGGGTGGCTGGCATTTTGGGAAGCAGGGCTAATTTGGCATATTATATGTGGCTGTGCATAAAGCACAGTGCTACATATGTCTAGCGTGGTACTATCTGCTTGGCACCCTCTTCAGGAAGAAGTTTCTATGTGGAGGTGGAGGGAACTTCCCAGGATTAGCTTCCATGGGGAAAATACAGCCATTATTATATAAATTTGGCCCAACCTGTTCATTCCTGATCAATGCAGAAGGGCAAAGGCTTGCTATATCTTTTTTGCTTCCATAGAAAACCACTGACTTAACTTTGAGAACCACGAAGTGGGTCAGCATTCATACTCTATGGATTCCTGAAAAGCAGTTCTGAGTAGAGTGCCTGTCTTCGAAGCCCTCTTTTCAGATGACAGGACTCTAACCTCATTTTTCTAACATCTGTGCATTCTTTCTTCTTCTTGGTTTATGTTTGGACGCATCAACTGACAAGTATTCAGAATAAAACTGAAGTCTGGACTTTAGAGAAAAAATCCTGTCACAGGAAAGCAATATAATGTGGAGATATAATGTAATAAACATATTGGATGCAGCTGCTCTAAACTGGTGTTACTTCACTGACTTCAGTGGAGATACGTTGATTCAATGCAATTGGTCCATGATCTAGCACTGAAAAATGTATTTAAACTAACTTGATATTAGAAGTGTAATCCCTCCTGCCTTTCCCCTTGAATAGTCATTTATGTCCAAAGAGAGTGAGTGCCAAGTGGGTGTAAAAGTCTACTAAAACAGGTTTGCCCAGTCATTTAAATCAGTGTTAGCATTTTACATCATCTCTGTGCATGGTACCATGACTGTACATGACTGTGCATGAAGGATTAGGCCTGCAATTTTTAAGACAAAAATAGAGTCAGGTTGATACCATTTGAAGAAAATGTAGTCTGTCTGGCTATATACACAAGCTCAGTGGGGGTCAAGCTTTTTGGCAAGCAAGCCCTGCCTTCTCCTGCAGTGCAACTCCAATTTCCTTCTGCCTGATCTGTTGCTAAGCTCTCTCCTCCCTGCAATTGGTTGCTCTGCTGTCTCCTGCACATGCTGTAGATTTGACACCCCTGCTTATCATATGGGTTGAAAATGCTGTTTTATTGTATTAAGCCAATTTGGAATGACTCCTACAGAGGGAGCCCATTTTACCTGGCATTCATGTTTACTGAATATGAATAATGTAAAGACACAAACAAAATAATATATTCACTGACAGATTTATAGGACACGTCAGCACAGCCTCCCTTCCTAAAACTGACCAAATAAACCCTACCAATTTGCTTCCACTCAGATGCATCTTTGGCTGGATATCAGGAGAGTAGACTGCTTGGAGCAGTCTTGAGTACATGCTCCAGCTGTGATCAGGCTCTTTCATTCAGGATTGTTTAGAGTGGTGTTTGGTTGGTAGCACTTATGATTGTTCCAAGCTGTACGCTTTACTAGTGTCATGAGCAGAAGTGGAAGCAGTCTTGCTTTCGTGGTGGTAGATCCAGGTTTGGGAAGGAAGCCTTACAGGCATGGCCATAGAGTCTAAGGCCAAAAGGGATTATTAGAAAAAGCTCATTTGACCTCCTGGATAACATGGGCAAATGAATCTTACCCACTAATTTCTTCTTTGAACAACAGCATATCATCTAAAAAGATATCTAGACTTGATTTATGTGTTTTGGATGATGGAGACTCCATCAAATACATATACAAGTTATTCTAGTGATCAGTTACCGTTACTTTTTTAAAAATAAGGGCCTTATTTCTAGGGACCTACCTAAACTGTGGTGAGATAAAGGGATGTTCATAGGCTGCTTGCTTTGCATGGAGCCAATTTTGCAGTCTTTTCATGGACAGCCCCCGCGCCCTCGCCCTCGCCCTCCTCCCTTTTCCCCACTGATTGGCTAAGAGGCCAATAACTCATCTTCAGACTGCAGGATTGCTTCGGCATTGCATCTGGCTTCTTAAAAGGTGACGTCAAAACTCTTTTGCTTTTCTAACTGGCACCTTGACTGAGTCTACGTCACTAGCTCAGCCTCTCAATAACTCTCTCTCTTACCTTGTGCTCTATGTCTGCAAAGATTCCCATGCTTCCTTTGTATTCTGGTAACCTTTTTTCTTTTCTACCAATTCTACACAAAATTGCGGGAAATGCCATTTTCACGGTGACTGTGGAAACTGCCTATTTTTGTGGTTTCTGCAAAGATCATGAAACTGCAAATTAAGTTCCTACTTATTTCCAGTCAGAATTTGCCTAGTTTCCCTTTTTAAACACTGGAGCTTGTCATTTTTTTCCCTGAAAGATTAAAGAACTGTCTACTACGATACTTTTTACATACAAGATGTTTTACGAAATTATGAAGTAAATATAAAATTGATATACCAAGATATTTGACAAATAATATAACACCAGAAGGAAAACTGACATAATTTGCATTTGATACAATAAGCTATAAAACAGTTCCAAGTTCTATGGTGTTGGTTGTAGCCATGTTCATCTAAGAACATAGGCAGACAAGGTTCTTCAGGTAAATGTAATATCTTTTATTATTTAGTTGGTCTAATAAAAGATATCACATTTACCCAAAGAACCTTGTCTCCCAAGTTCTAAGAAACCTATGCAATGCCTCTGCAGTGAATTTGAGTCACAGAAAAAATCAGGACAATTTAATGCACTGTTTGGAGATAGGGCATTTATACATGTGCTCTCGGAGGGGAGGGAGGGCACTTCAGCTAGAGTGGCTCTGAGAGCTGCTCTAATTAAAGTGCCCAGAGCATCTCGTGTATCAGTATCCCTGAGCTGAAAAATGGTAGTGGGAGTGCATTAACTAAAGCTCATCGAATAAGCCACCATTTTTCAGTGCGGGATACTAATACATGAGACACTGGAGTCTGCTGTTATTATCATGCTTCAGCAGACTCAGTTAATCAAGTCTGCTCTGATGCACTGTAGTTATGAAGTGTTGCTGCACATGTATAGGCACCCAAGGTGAAAGATTCTCCACTCCTTTGTGTAAGCACACATATCTGTGTAACACAAGCACAGAACCAGATCAGACCAGTGTTCTTTATTCACTTACATTGGCTCACAGAGGATGATAATTCTACACTTTGCAACCACTGCACACTCATTTTGTTGAACAGAACATTTCTATATAGTGGTAAGGTTGTGGAGAAACAGGTCTCAGGAGTCCTGAAATTCTGTGTGTCCTGCAGGATGTTAGTGGCTTTCTTTCAGAAACATACATGTTAGGAAATGAATGTATCCAGCAAACAGAAAAAATTTTAAGGTACTACTGTGCTTGCTACTAGATTTTAAGACAGTTGGCATTTATGACTGACTTATGTACGATATAACAAGTAACCAGTAAATGTAGTAACAGGTGGATACTTGGCTGGGATGGATCCAGTTGCCAGTCTGAGCCAGACTTCTTGACCATAATTTAACTCCAATAAAGCACCTCCTGTAATTACTCTATCAATGTACTTGTTACCATTAACATTTTCAGACTGGAAAGCAAGTTTGTCTATTTCATCAACTACCAAATAGCCAGAGAAACGTGGACTGAATGACTCTATGTTATACCCAAAAACATAAACCCCAAGATACGGAACATGAAACTTTCCAGTTGCTGGGCTAAAGGAAGCGCCATAGTTGACATCCAGATTATTAAATCTGATGGGGCCTGGAGCTGTCATCCCATAGGTGTGAGATGCAAAGAAAGCCACCATAGGTGCATACCTATAAGAACCTTTTGAAAAATCTGCAAAGGAATAAAAACAAATGAGTTACATTTCTTGTTTTTTCCCTCCATGTCCACAAACTGCCTTGTAGACTAAAGTCATTGTGAACTGTATGTTAGTTTAAAATAGGAACTGAAAATGACATAGTATAGAAACTTTTCCTAAGGCACTTTGTCAAGTAGCTTGATCAGGTAAAAAAGAAGCAAAATGAGTTCCTAAGCACTGTAGAAAAAGCAAATTTTTACACAATTAGTGCCAAGCATACCTATAAAAGCCGCATTTCAGGATCATAGAATGAGAAGATTAGGGTTGGAAGGGACCTCAGAAGGTCATCTAGTCAACCCCTTGCTCAAAACAAGACCATCTCCAACTAGATCCTCCTAGCCAAGGCTTTGTCTAGCTGGGTCTAAAAAAACCTCCAAGGATGGAGATTCCACAACCTCTCTGGGTAACCTGTTCCAGTGTTTAACTACCCTCCTAGTGAGAGAGTTTTTCTTAATATCTAACCTAAACTCTCCTTGCTTCAACTTGAGACCATTGCTTCTTGTTCTGTCATCTGTCACCACTGAGAACAGTCTAGCTCCATCCTCTTTGGAATGACTCTTCAGGTAGTTAAAGGCTACTATTAAATCCTTGCTCAGTCTTCTCTTCTCCAGACACAATAATCTCAGTTCCCTCAGCTTGTCATAAGTCATATGACCCAGCCCCCTAACCATTTTCATTGCCTTCCGCTGGACCCTCTCCAATTTGTCCACATCCTTTTTGTAGTGGGGGACCCAAAACTGGACACAGTACTCCAGATGTGGCCTCCCCAGTGCTGAATAGAGGGGAATAATCACTTCCCTTGATCTGCTGGCAGCAAGGGAACTTTATTCTTGACTGTTGAGCATTATCAGTATCATTGAGTTGCCCATGGTGGGTACTCAATAAGCCTCTAGGAAAAAGGTCTCTGGTCCCTCTGTTAAAAAGTATTGGTATTTAAAATGCAGTCCAAGAAATGCTGGAGTTGTCATTCCTAGTGATGGGCTTTCACTTGTTAGTAGCAAAATTTCATGACATTTCCTTCAAATACTTTTATAACATTTCTTCCACAGCTGCCTTTCTGCTCAATCTACCAGGGAGTTATCTGGTTTTTATAGATAGGCTGATCACCCAGCTCATTTTCAACCTATGATGTTGGCCATATTAAAATAGTGGATTATGAATCATACGTAGGGATGCACAGGACTTTGCTGCTTGAGCTAAAGGGGTAACTTTTTTAGTAGCAGTACTAGATATATTGTCTTTCAACTAGTTGCTAGCAGAGGACACAAAACATTTCATCAGTCAATTATGTCAGCAAATGATTAGAGCTCAGTGAAAATGGTCACATCTACCTGCTTACTGCATCACTAAATATTATACTTACCAATGGCCAGAGTATTGTCATCCACCAGCTTTGTGCTGCAGTTGACTCCTCCAAAGGGGTGACGACAAGCACAAACAAACCTCTGTTTATCATTTATGCAGGTTCCTCCATTTTGGCAGGGGGAGCTAGCACAGGCCAAATACTGACCTGTTTGAAAGGGTAGAAAAATAATTTGTGTGGATACAGTCAATACAAACTTGCCCACATGAAACCATGTGAAATCCCTCTGCTGAGTTTTGTACTTAGAGCCAACCTCTGAAAGGGTTCAGCTTCCTCAGAACTTTTCCATCCTGTACTCTGCCTCTTCTACCTCCATGCTGACACACTCACACAAGAGTTCCAAAGGCATTAAGCCAGTCTTATCTCCATATTCCCTCTGGAGCTTAGATAGATAAGGAGGATGATATTATTACCCTATTGTTTATGGGCCCATTGTTGTCTAGCATATTTGCACTTAGGGTACAGCAAAAAGCCTTTTTTCCCTCCTTGATTCATTCTCCATATAGGAAGATATTTCAAAAGAGCAGGTTCATTGCTCAGTATTCTTACTGGGAGCAGACACTTTATGCTGTGTCCACTAACAGTGTTTCTCATAGGCTAGGGTAGAACTAACCCCAGTTGAATCACAGAATATGGAATATTTGGCTACTTGAGAAGCACAGTTACTTCAATTTAAAATAAGATGGCTCTCCAAGGCTCTAAGCATATTACCACATTAATTACTTTTGCAATATAGCAAGAGGCTTTAAAATAATCATTTTCAGAGAATCCTTTCTTCCTTTTCATTGTGATAGCCAGCACATATCAAAAACCTATAGAACAAATGTCTTTTGTGATGTACTCGGGTCACCAAATAAGGACCAGTTTGGACAGGACAGGAATCTAGTTACTATGGTTTGGTGCCCTCACAAGGAATGCCACACCTGGATTCTCCTTCTCTTCCATAGTGTGCTCAGGTACCTCCAGAGTTGTAGCAATATTACATGAGGATCAATATTACACTGATCTGTAATATGTAATATTACACAGATCAATATTACACTGATATGTCAGATCAGTGTATCAGAACTTGGGTTATCCTGTTTTGCTCATTCAAAATGTTGCCCCCATTATTTTGAATATGCAGACATGCCCAATTTTGCCTGACAATTTAGAAAGGCATTTGTGAACATGCTGAAGATGAAGAGCTCCCAAGGCTCTTCCAGTTGTATACCTTCTTCTCAGGATGGGAACTTGTAAATTTTTAATTCTCACATAGAATTATGAAATGTATTTTTCCTTGCTGTGATCTTCAGGGCATTAGTCTCAGCTATACTAATACAACAGATTCAGGTCTTAAGACCAGAGCCCAGCAGTTGAAATGATGTATAATCTTGGGAAAAGGCAGCAAGCTGGACAACCTTGATGAGTGTAAATAATAGGATGACAAATCTAAGAGCTAGGTGGGAGTTGAAAGGGCCTTTCATAGAAGTGCTCATTACCTGGGGGGAATGTTGTATTGCCTCTTTTCATAGATACCTCACTAGCACTCATAAAGTTATCTTTAATTTCCAGAACAGGCATTTCAGGTGCTACTGAATGCTACTGCATTCAGTCACATTATTTCCATGATGAATTTGAGTTGACTGAGCAGAATGTTAAAGCTTTTCATGCAATGCCCCTTGAGTTTAGACTGATGAAGCTTATGGATTGAAACACCACAAAATTTCTCATGTGCCGTATGTCCTTTTTTTTCCCTACCACAGCATCACAATAATGCCTGAAATACAGCAATGTAAGAGCGCAGTGGCCAAATGCCACAACACAGCCAGAGATGACGCACTTGTTCTCCCCCACGCTCCCCACCCCCAGTGTTTTCTTTACTTTAGATTTAATTGAACATACATTTGACTCTCACTTTGGACCCTCACGACTGTTTAGCTACTCAGCTATTAACTGTTTGCTGTATGGAAGGAAGGGGGAGTGGCTAATTCTGCATAGTTTAAAAATATTGATTGCTCCAGGTAAACTAGCTAGTGTGGTTGGCACACTGAATGCATTGACAGGTCCATGAATTGGCCTCTGTTTATGTGTATTTTGGCAGACCCAAATGGGAACAAAACATATCTATGAAGCTGACAGGAAAAGAATCTAATGAAAGAACCTATGGTGGGGGTGAGATGGTTATGTAAGGGCCTACAATGGGAGAATTTTACATTAGAGAGGAACACTTTGACAATGAGCTGGTATAAACTGGCCAATACCACTACTGAGTCCACTGGAGCTGGGCCAGTTTCCACTGTAGTGAGTCCTTGGCCCTCCTCTTCTTGAAAAGGACTAGGACAAGGAACATGGGAAATTCAGTCAAGGTGAGGGATGTCCAGAGAGAAGATTATCCTTTATCTGTGTGCTGAAGCATGAGTGTCTGCACCTGTTTTCTTTGTGTTTCCAAAATGCTTGTAGCTCACCTAAGCCAATTCGCCTTGTATTTTCTTTCTTTTTGCTGCTACCCAATGTCAGTAGACTTCCATGCTACATATACCTTCTGAATGTAGTAAAGATATGAACAGACTTTGGCTAGGAAAATATCCCCAAGTATAGTATCTAATCTCTTTTTATTTAAGACTTTACAAGTCATTAAGGCAGATAAGTGGAAGAGGCAGACTTTGTAAGGATAGTTAAATTAAATGTTTAAGGGGCAGAAATAACAGCAGAGGATAAGATAAATGAGGTTACTAGTTACATGTGATACGGTGGGATTGAAGACAGATGCAATGGTAAGGCAGCATTCTGCTACTCTTATTGAGGGCAGGCAGCCAAAGTCTCTCTTTAGGGAATAGTCTGCCGATTGCTGTACAAACAAATCTTCAAACAAGTAATGAAACTCTGTCGGTATCTGTTGGGGTGGCGTTTAGAAGCAAATCAAATATTTAGTAACTTGATGGAACAACTTATTGCAGCTGGTCTGATAATGGAGAGGAATGACTGCAGTTATTTAATTTGGGATTGGCATGAGAGGGAGTGACTTACAAGTAGTTTTTCAGTCCTTGGTTATCAGTAGTGGGGTACCTGTTTGTGACCAATAAAACATGGGAAAGGAAGAGTTTGGAAGCATTTGAAGCCCAACTGGTTGCTGATAGCCACCATTGCTTTCATTCCACAAAACTGTCACAGTGAATCACCTTTAAGTCCACCTGTCTGTATAAGGCCCTGAATGGTAGTGGAAAAAGTAATGGCTTTTGTTATCTGGATAACATGAGCTTGGTGTCTGAGTCCAGTGTATAGGTCTATAGCACAAAAAAAGGTTCCCCTGAAAGCAAACCGTTCATGAGGGCCAAAGCCAGAATGGGCATAGACACTGAATTATCCTTTAGCCTCAACATAAGTTTGCTTGCCAGATCAGAGTTAAGACACCTGGACAATGCAGGGTGTAAGCAGCTTGTACTGCAGCAGTTCTATTTGAGCTACTTTTTTGTTAAACAGAGTGTTAGTGGGTGTATCTACCCATACACTTTACTGCGAAGATGACTAATTAGCTCTGCAAAAAGGTGTCAGCATCTACACATGTGCCTGCATTAGCGTATAGTAAATTAATTAACTCCATTGTTGGATAGTACTGTTTGGCATAAGTACTATCCTATGGCACAGTATTTATACCACCTCAATGCATGTGTAGATGGTGATGAGGGCTGCTTTATGGCTAGCTCCGCACTGTAGCACCTTCATATTCCAGACACCCTCTCTGCCACATGGTACTGTGACCAGGAGGCTGGGGCTGACCCCCCTGGGCCTGCTGCTAGCTCAGGGCTGCTTCACCCTGGCTCTAACTGCCACAGTCTCAGGCGCACATGTATCTGTTGCATCTGGGAATCGCTGACTCTGTCACTTTTATTGTTCCATGTTAACTGCACATTTAGATGCACCCAGTGTCTAGTACTTTCATGCAATGGCTTTCATGAGCACTAAATTAAAAACAACAAAAGAACCCTTTTTCATCTGTCTGTTACTGTAGTAGACTAAATATGCAAAACTGAAACACTGAGGAGTCAAATTGAATTAGAATAACAATCAAGCTCTCACAATTAAAATGCAACATGCAAAACATTCAAATAGGCTTATTTTACTGCAGGCTTGAATGATAAAGCAACAGAGGAAGCTTGCATCTCTGATGGTGAGAATGAAAATTTACATGTAACATGAAAATGTAAGTAAAAAAAAATCTCTATTTCCCAACAGGCAGATGGTAGACTTTATAACATGACCCTTCATTTTGAGCCTGCCATCCTCAGTGAAACAAGTTGGTGGTTTGTAGTAAAATTAAAAGATAGAATATAGCTGATTGAAAGACAACAACATTCAGTCTGTATTGTTGTTATCCATTATTTAACGGTATCACGTGCAATGCTTTTGGGAGTTTGGGTCAGAAACAGGGAGACAGGAAATAAAGTAGAAATGTTATTAAAAGCTCAATAGATTTTAACATCTTGGGTGCTTGATTCTCTGATGACCTGTGAACAGTTAACTTTAGTCATGTCCAGGTTGAGTGTACTGAGATGAAAGGAATGGAAATAAGATACAGAAGATAAGAACAAAAAAGATAACATGTATGTTTATCTCTCCATCTCACTTCTATTTTCCTGCTATCTGCTTTCTCCTTTCAGCCTGACAGCCTGCTGAAGTCCGCTACTTGGAGACATTTTTCAATATTGCTTTGCATTCTTTATTCATTCCTAATTCCCATTATAGTCACCAAGAGACAAAATGTAATGGATTGATTCTGCACTCCTCCTATACCAAAAAATCTTTAGTAATTGCAATATTGGGTCCTTGATTTCAACCTCTCTATAACGTTTTAAAAAAGTGTGTGGAGTTTTGTTAATCCTAACTAACATGCACACCTAGTGCAAACTCATGTAGAATAGTAGTAGGAATAGGTCCACTGATAGCAAAAGACCTAATCAACTGAATACAGACTGGAGGCTAAATCCTGACCCCATTAAAGTCAATGACAAAATTCCCACTCATTTAAACATGGCTAAATCTTGATCACATTAAAGCCAATTGGGACTTTTGCTATTTACAATTGTGCATATGTCACGGTCATGTTCTTTGATCTGTTGCAAACCTAAACAGAAAAACAAATATCTACATGTATAATTAGCTATTTG